TCATTTTCCACACAGGAACCAGAGTCAACTTTTAAAGTATAATTTTATGATGTTGCTTTTTTAAGCAGAAAACTAGAATAGCAAGGCCTGCATTCCAACATAGCTGGTTAAGCCACCACTTAACATCCCATATGGACACTGCTTTAAGTCCTAGCTGTTCCACTTCTGATCCAACTCCCTGCTAATGCATCTAAGAAAGCAGCAGCATATGGTCCAAGTGCTTGGGCCCTGCACCCATATAGGAGACCTGGGTAAAACTCCTGGTTCCAGCTCTGGTCTGACCCAGCCCTGACCATTGCTGCCATTTGAGGAGTGAACCAGCAGATGGAAATTTCTGTCTATATATGTATACATCTCCTTCTCTCTGTAACTCTGCCTTTCAAATAAATAAAAGAAAAAAGAAAAGAAAACTATCTGAAAAAAAACTCAAAATTAATTTTCAACATGGCCCCAGGCTCACTTGGAGTCACTATTCTTCAATGACTATTCTTGTGAACTGATCTAAGCCAAGATTTTTGTGTGCTATCATCATGTTCCATAGGGTAAACAACAGGAAGCATTGAATTTCTTTGAGGTGAGTAACTTCAGCTGCTACCCACAGCCTTACTACTAGACTAAAATGAAAATCGAAATCAAAGGCCACGACTGGCTATAAATATGGTCGTTTATTGCATCATTCTCATTAGTAAAGTATCAGTTCACTAATATGGACAAAACAAAATAGCACAAACGAGATGGCTTAAACAACAGAAATTTATTTTCTCACATTTCAGGAAGTTTAAGGTCTAAGATCAAGGTGTCAGCAGGATTGGCTTCATTCTGAGATCTTCTCTCTCTCCTCAGCTTGCCAATGGCTACCCTCCTTCCAGGACTTTACTAGGGTACCCCACTATCTGTGTATTGTCTGTGTCCTCTTTGCCTTTCACAAGGACACCAATGACACTGGCTACTTGGATATGACCTAATTTTACATGAATTATCTGTTTTTAATGCCCTATCTTCAAAGACAGACGTATTTTGAGATATGGAATATTGGAGTTTCAACATATGAATTTCAGTCTCAGGGAACATAATTTAACCCATTATAGCAAGCAGAAGAGAATGTACATCGTATCATGTAAGGTCCTACCTCTCTATCCTTTTAGGTACTTTAACTCATTGCTTAAAAGATCGATCAAGGCTGACACAGCAACATTTCAGAGGCAGCATTCTGCTATCCTTGTGGTTGGACCAGACAACCAGAAATTCTCGTAACAAATGGATCCGCCAGGAATGATTCAAGCCCTGGAGAGCATCCCCAAGGACAGTCTCAGTTTTGTTGGATTCTGTAATCTGTTCATGGAAGTGTGAAGAGCATCTAAAATATTTTGCCAAATCCACATAACTTTAATTTCACCAGTGAGCCCATTTCTAACATTCATCATACTAACTAAAATGCTATTCATTTCCCTATAAAACCCAGCCCTGGTGTTTACTTAGCTTAAGTTGTAAAGCCCAGACCCTGACTAAGATACTGATGACAGAAGTATACCATATTGGCTGCCCTTTCAGCATAGCCTCTCTGATGTAATTCTAGCTAACCAGCCTTAGAATGTGAAGTTTTAATTGGAGCAACCGACAGCCCCTGGAGCTAGGGTTTTAACTAACCATTACATTCTCAAAGCACCATTTACACACAAACTATCTCAGAACGCCACCATGTAACAGCACAACCATTCTCTCAGTCCTGAATTTTACCAACCTGTGCCATTTTGACCACCTCATCTTCAGCCTGGTACACTCTGCCCTCTGCTCCCCACACACTAACTTCTGCCCACCCCTCTGCCCCCAGCCCAAATATCCAAGAGTCAGGGATAGCACTCTCCACCTCTCAGACATGTTAATTTCCTTGTTGTCCCTTTTCATAGCCCCCCATGCTTTTCCTCAGAGTGTGTGGGGGAATTTCCATTAATGAATAGTTTGTTAATTGTCAGTTGTCCGTGAAGATCCAGGAGAGCAGAAACAGTATCTGTTTTGCTCATCTCTGTAATCCTAGTGATTAACATTTATTCTCTTAGTCATCTATATTTAAGAACAATAGATATTCTTTGAGTACCTATTATGGGCTGAAAGTGAAAAGACATGTCCATGCCTTCATGCAGCTCACCATGTAGTAGAGGTGATTCTTTTATATATATATATAACTATATATATATATATTCTTTTTATGTAGAGTTACAGACAGAGAGAGGTCTTCCATCCACTGGTTCACATCCCAAAGGGCCACAATAGCCGGAGCTGCGCCGATCCAGAGCCAGGAGCCAGGAGCTTCTCCCGGGTCCCCCACATGGATGCAGGGGCCCAAGCACTTGGGCCATCTTCCATTGCTTTTGCATGTGCATTAGCAGGGAGCTGGACTGGGAGAGGAGGAGCCAGGACTCAAACCTGCGCTCATATGGATGCAGGTGCCGCAGGCAGAGGCTTAGCCCACTACGCCAAAGTGATGGCCCCTGTAGAGATGATTCTTGAATGCAGTATGAAAACTGCCTCTGGCCTCAGCCCAAAGGGCAGCCAGTTCCTCTCCCCCGAGCTCCCGTATCCAGATAGTATCAGTCACATTGCACAGTGCTTAATGGCTTGCCTCTCTCCTCTACTGGACTTTATGTTTGAAAGCAGAGAGTTTTGGGGCTGGCGCTATGGCACTGGAGGTTAATACTCTGCCTGCGGTGCTGGCATCCCATACCGGCACCAGTTCTAGTCTTGGCTGCTCCTCTTCCAATCCAGCTCTTTGCTATGGCCTGGGAAAGCAGTAGAAGATGGCTCAAGTCCTTGGGCCCCTGCTCCTGCATGGGAGACTGGGAAATAGCACCTGGCTCCTTCCGGGCTTTAGATTGGCGTAGTTCTGGCCGTTGCGGCCATTTGGGGAGTGAACCAACGGAAGGAAGATCTTTCTCTCTGTCTCTCCCTCTCACTGTCTGTAACTCTACTTCTCAAATAAATTAAAATAAATCTTAAAAAAAAAAAAAGCAGAGACTTCTTTTTTTTAGTTTGTTTCTTTATCCTCAAAATTGCCCTTTAATGTTAGATAAATTAGCCAGGATTTTTTGAAAAAAAAAAACCCAAAGTCAGACTTATACTGGAATAGCTGGAGTATCTGCTCAATTAAATAAGCTCAACAGGAAATTCTGAGTTTGGGAATGAGATGAGTCACAATTCTTTTATTCCCTCGTTATTGACTTCTTTTCACATTTCCACCAGAAGTGTCCATTCACAAACTCGCAGCGCGGACAAGGAGAAGAAAGAAATGCATTTCAGTGAACCATGACCCCAACATTTGCAAAAGACTTCCAAAAGTACCTGTTTCCATTGGCAAAGGCATCCTGATAGGCCCTGAATGAAAAAATTCCAACTCCAACATACCTAACTTTGACTGGAAATAACAATTGTCTTTTAACAAATAGATGGTATTGAAACTATTATTCTAGCCAGTGCCACGGCTCACTTGGCTAATCCTCCGCCTTCGGCGCTGGCACCCCGGGTTCTAATCCCGATTGGGCACCGAATTCTGTCCCGGTTGCTCCTCTTCCAGTCCAGCTCTCTGCTGTGGCCAGGGAGTGCAGTGGAGGATGGTCTAAGTGCTTGGGCCCTGCACCCCATGGGAGACCAGGAGAAGCACCTGGCTCCTGGATTCGGATGGGCGCAGCGTGCTGGCCATAGCGACCATTTGGGAGGTGAACCAATGGAAGGAAGACCTTTCTCTCTCTCTCTCACTGTCTAACTCTGCCTGTCCAAAAAAAAAAAAAAAAAAAAAAGAAGAAGCTAATATTCTTGGCTTTTTTGGAATAATTGGCACCAGGCCTTGAAAACACAACCTATTTCCCGCTTCAACCCTCTATCAAAATAGAATTACAAATTGTTGGGGAAATATTTACTATAATATCTATATTTTTCTGAACCCCTAGTCATAAAATATAATCTGGCAATGGGATTTCATTCCTTGGGTTAGTTTTACTATAATCCTTTGCAATTTCATTAATTTTATTATGATTATTTTTAAGTTGCAATTTTCTAGACCTTGAGACTCTTTAAGGAAAAAATGAGATTGAACATTTAAAGTAAAATTTTAAAAGGAAAATAAGGAACCTAATAGTCATTACTACGCTAAACTGCTAAATGCATCCCTCACCATCATTTTTTGTACCATCATAAATTCTGCAAATGCTTTTATTTTCATTTAAGGCTGGCCTAGCAAATAGGCCTGGAGTGGTTTTAGGGAGAGGCAGCTCACCCAGCTGTCAAAACTTACCTCTCAGTTCATTTCTTAATGCCAGAAATTATAACATTAAAAATTCATGCCTTTGGTTTAGGGCTCGGTTCCCTAATAAGATGCAAATATTCCTGGGAAAGACCACGCTTAAAATAGTGACGGCCATTTCCACCCAACTCGTGTTCCAACATTTAAATAGAGAAAAGAAAGAGTATGGCTTTGGGTCCTTCTGTGAGTGAAAGGTCTAGAAACATTCTCTGGAGCTTCTAAATACCAGCACATTTCTGCCTGACTCTGCCCTGGACAGAGATTTGGAACACTAGGAGTTGAGCTGTGCAAAGCAGTCTTGCTAGACCTGCATGTGTCGAAGAGAAAGAAAATCCACAAGAAAATCTTCCTCGAGACACTTCGTGAAGTTTCTCTCTCATTACTTACCCGATTAGAATAAACAGCTGATAATCTCCAAGTAAACTGCTTCTGATGTCTTTCGTTTAATACTAAGCTGCTATATTTAGCATTACTAGATAAATAAATTCGTTCCTGGCTAACACTGGAATTAAAGAACCCAGAAGGGCTTTCGGAAATTCCCCTAGGTAATTGATACTTTTAACTGAGTCAGTCCTGAATTAAGTACGTGATGATGAGATGTAAAACCTAGGGGCCAACCATCTATGGCTTGTGATTGCCTCAGAAAATCAACGCATCAAATATCCTATTCAAACTGCATCTTGAGGCATGAAGAAGAAAGCTGAGCATCAATTCACTAAGATGATTAGGGAAGGAGTTACCTGTGATGTCATTAAATTCCTTTCCCTCCACCGCTCTAAGGTGGGAATGTAGCTGTCCTGCTTTTCTGATCAACGTGCCTTTTCCTTCCCTGAGAGACAGGCACTGTGAATGCTGCACACTCCGCTAAACGAGCTCAACAGCCAGCCCTCTCCAGCCAAGGCCAAGTCTCCAGCCGAAGGCTTCCCGTGGCACAGCTGTCTTGCCTGATGGTCAAACAAGGAATTGGTCAGACTGAGAGCAAAGTAGACATTCCACAAGTATCAGAAATCATAGCACACGATCACTCAAAAATCACATCTACACTCTCAGTCCCTACTGAGTGTGAAATAATGACTGTGGTGATGTCCCATAGTAAGATGAAAAGCTTTAAAATTGCTCCTCTCAAAACAGATCAGTTATTTATACGAAAACGCCAGACATCATTGAGGAAGCCATATTCAAAAAAAAAAAAAAAAAAACCTACTTCACTTTAATTTAATCAACTAGGCTCAGTTAATATTTTTCTGCTTCATGAAACCCTTGATCAAGACCAAGCCTATTACTTAAGCAAATAGCATGTCCTTGGGAATAGAAAAGTTAATATGCACATTAATATTGTTGATACGCAGCAATCAGACTAAGCTTTCACAACTGTGGATGCATTAGATAAGATCAAAGTGACCCAATTTGACAATTTGCTCTCTTAATATCAGGAGAATAGCAGGTCTTAGTTCTCTCTTTGTCCACTAGACATTTTGAACATTTATTTAAACCAGTCACAAATTAGACCACTTAATTTGTCAGTCAACTATGATTTAACTACAGGAGAATAGAAATGATCTTAATGTCTTACAGAAACCATGAAGACTAATAAAATTTATAATTTCAATTTTTTCTGTACTTCATTAACAAGATTAAGGCACCAGCCCGCTTAGAAGTGACATCATAGGACTTTTAAATAGGGCTTTTCTGTTCCAAAAGAATATTATAAAACTCGCTCATCTCCAGAACCCAAGCCCGTTTCCCTACACCTTTCAGTCCACAAGTTCTACTTTCTAATACCCAAGGCATCCCTTTCCCATCTTCCTGCCACTGCTACTCATCCCTCCCTGAAGGTTCTATATGGCCTCTACCCTCTCCAATCATAATGAAAAATTTAATAATAGAGGACTATTTCATATCAAGTCTAAGGTATCTGTACCTTAATAAGCCACTTTTTCTAGAATCTTTGGAGTTTAAAACATCCTGGACCCATGTAACCACTTTCCACGAGGAATGGAGGAGAGAACAAAAATACACAGATACACAGATCTCCTACCATGGGACAGGCACTAATAGTGATGGGTTCTAATCCTCATAATAACCTGCTTTTAAAAAGATTTATTTTACTTATTTGAAAGAGTTACAAAGAGAAGAAGAGCCAGAGAGCAAGAGTTAGAGAGAGAGAGAGATGCCTTCCATCTGCTGGTTCACTCCCCAAATGACAGCAAAATGGCCAGGGCTGTGCCGACCCGAAGCCAGGAGCCAGGAGCTTCTTCCAGGTCTCCCATGTGAGTGCAGGGGCCCAAGGACTTGTGCCATCTTCTACTGCTTTCCCAGGCCACAGTTGAGAGCCGGATGGGAAGTGGAGCAGCCAGGACTTGGATCAGCACCTGTATGGGATGCCTGCACCGCAGGCCAGGGCTCTCACATGCTGCACCACCTCTCCAGCCCCCATAATGGCCTTGTGATGGTAAACACTAATTATTCCTTTTTTAATGATTAAAGAAATTCCCTTAGATTACTAGCTAAGAAATGTTAGTCTCAGGATTCTAACCCAGGGTTTCCTGCTGCTCCTCTAGTGTTTATGTGTCTGCCAGGCTTAACCCACATGAATGCCTAATGAGGGAACATTAACACGTGTCCATGAGGGATACTGTGGATAAATGATGGCCCTCAGGTTGCAGTCAGTAACCACACAGCAGTCTCTGCTTGTGGCTTCCATTTCTTTTCATTCTTTCTTGATCACGTTGTAGCTTCAATGCCTTTCCCATTCCGAACTAGACTTGTGCTTTCAAAATCAATTATTATTCAGTCAGACTTTCGAGTGGAAATCCTCTAAAGGCCTCAAGGCACTGTATAGGAAAATACTGCATAATGAAAAATAAACATTTGGGTTACCAGGAAGGGACAAATAAGAACCCTGTATTCTAACTTTTTTCTAGCCCTGGACAAAAGCAGGAAGTTTGACCAAGCTCTAAAGGGTTCTTTTTCTCTTTGTTCTAGCTACTCTACCTCTCACACTAAACATGAAACTTCTACGTGACATTTTCTTACAACCACTGCCTTCCTAAAATAAGGATATACTGCTGCCCCAACATCTACAAGATACAATTCCCACCCTTGTCGGTCTTCTCTACTCCTCCAAAATTATTTGAGACACCAAGGAAATGTTAAGTCATCCAGGGGAGGTGATTCACTTATCCAATTAGGGTAAGCAATGTGATACCTCTGATTATGCACACTGCCTTGTTGACTATCTTCAGCTCCATTGCAAGCCATACAAGAAAGGAGATTAAATCCAATAAACCCTGAAATGTTGCAAAGGCACCAAGAGGAGTTGACGGAAGAGAACAAGTGAGACTCTTCTAAGTCTTCTTCAGTTACCAGGTCTTATGGTTGAATTGTGCCCCCTCACTCAGAATGCAAATAAAAAGATATGTCATATATGTCAGAGTCCTAGCCCCTTCCTTTAGAAGACAGAGTTTTTACAAAAGTCATCAAGTTCAAATGTGGTTAGCGGAGCAGACCCTAATCTAATATGACTGGTGTTCTTAGAAAAAGAGAGGAAAACTCTCTTCCCAAAATGGGATACTAGGCACCCTGTCTTTTCTTTACACATCAGGCCCCGGGGGTGGTAAATAAATAATCACAAAGGTGAGGGCATGAAACAACAGGAATGTATTCTCTCAATTCAGTTCTCAAGAATGGAAGGAGGAAGTCAAGCTGGTGCAGGACCATATTCCCTGCAGAGTTCTCTGGGGTGAATCTCTTGTTTGCCCTTCCAATGTGCAGTGACTGCTAGTTCCTTGGCTTGTGGCTGCATCACTCCTCTCCATCACCACCATCACCCCCATTTTCACACTGCCTTCTTCTCTGTGTAGCTCTCTAGCTAATCTCCTTCAACCTCTCTCATAATGAAACAAGTGATTGCATTCAGAGCCAACTTGGATAATCTATGCTCATCTTTCTCAAGATGCTTAGTCATCTCTTGGCTTTATTACATGATATTCACTCCCTTTTTTATATTTATAAGTTCTGGGAATTAGGAAGTGAACAAACCTCTGGAACATCACTTTGCTCTTCCTAGTACAGGCCTTAACCACGGCCTCTGAGGTTACCTTTCTGAAGCCTACCTTTCAAAGCTACTCCGTGTAATCTTCATTTCAGCTGTAGTCCCAGACCTCATATCTAAGACTTGAAAGGTTAAAATTTTCATGTCAATTTGAGTTGACCTTCTTCTTCTTCCCTCTATTGATAACACTTAACCAATGTTTTCTTTATAAAAAGAAAAAAATACTGGTTCTTATCCTAAGATATAAGAGTAATAAAATAAGCCATGTTTTCTCTCCTCATTCATAGTCTTTCTCTTAATTCACCCCAGGTTCTATTCAGGTATATGAAAGAGCACATTAAAATGTCTTTATGAAATGCCTCAGTCTTAGAAAAGTTATGCAAGCTGTGAATTTTTCTACTTCGCTGCCAGGATCACAAAGAAGCTACATAAGGTGTATAATTTCTACATCCACATATACTGTAGGGTGTCAATGCTCAAATACCATTTTTCTCTAAGTACTTATTAATGTAAAAAAATTTTCTTTGTTTAACTGTTTCTTTGTTGGCCTCAACCATTCAAATCTCCTTCTCTCTAGATTCATACAGCACAGGGGAATAAATTGAAGGGCAATAAGAACTTCTAAAAATACTCTGGAAAAAAAATAGCAATAAGCCTAAGATTTAATTTACAGCTTTGCAAAAGGTAACATTTGATGGAGTGATAGAGTCTTGATCTAAGAGTTGAATAAAGGAGAATATCTGGGATTGAGTATAACTTAGGATTTGATACCCAGAAATGAATGTATATTATATGTATATTGTTTCTGGTCATTCAGAAAAGGTTTTTAATATTATACAGATCTATAAATGTATTTGGAAGCGTGATTCAAGAACAAGAATCGTTTACTGCGCTTCAAATAGAAAGATTGTGGAGAACAAGTGGCCCTCAATCCTAACTATACACAAAAATCTAAGAATTTTTTAGTTAATTCTTACTTAGTCAATTGAGAGGCAAAGAGACAAAGAGAAGAGATAAAAAGAGAGTTTTCCCATCTACTGGTTCACTTCTCAAACACCCCCAGTGACTGGGGCTCCTTCCCGGAGAACAAAAGTTAGGAGACAGGAACTCAATTCAGATCTCCAGTGTGGGTGGCAGGAACCCAATTACCTCAGCCACCACCATTGCCTCTCAGGATCCACTTTAGCAGGAAGCTGGGGTCAGACGCCTGAACTGGAAATGGAACCTATGCACTCTGAGGGGTGGGAAAGAAGCATCTTAACCAGTGTCTTACCCTGGAAACTAAACAATGACCCCTGAGAGCTTTTCTAAAATTAGCAGCTGGGCTAGATGTTGTGGCACAGTGGGTGAAGCTGCCACTTAGGACACACCCATATCCTTTATTGGAATGCCTGGTTCGAGTCCCTACTACTCCACTTCTGATCCAGGTTGCTGCTAGTGCACCCAGGAGGCAGCAGAGAGTCCCTGCCACCCATATAGAAAACAGAGATGGAGTTCTTGGCTCCTGGCTTGGCTTGGACCAATACTGGCTGGTGCCGGCATTTGGGGAATAAAGCAACAGGTAGAAGACCTCTTGGTCTCTCTCTCTCTCTCTCTCTCTCTCTCTCTCTCTCTCCCTCTCTCTCTCGCAATGCCTGGGCTCATGATTTCTGGGGTAAGGGTGTGGTTGTGTTTTTGGTGGTGTTGTTTACAGATTCCTCAGATGATTATAAACATAGAATCAAGATTGGAAACTCCATACTCATTTTACTGAAAATAGAAATCGAAACTAATAGTGAGGTGACTTGCTAACTTCTGCCTCTGTGTGTGATTAAAAACACAAAAAGAAGAGGCTATCAATAAGCAGAAAGAAATAGTGAGAAGATTATCAAGAGAGCAGGGGAGTCTGCAAACAGCAGAAGTCTTGGCTGGCTGCTCAGCTGGACTGAAAATGCAAATCCTACTGAACTCCTTCCTCACCTGGTTGTGTGGATCCCAAGGAACTGGCTTTAGACAAACAACAGATCTACAAACCTTCTAACTAGAAGTTTGAAGTTTGGAGGAGGCAGTGCAGAGGAACAAATTCTGAAATTCCAGGACTAGAAAATTAAGAAAAGTAAAGGAATCTCCACAGAAAGCAGTTTCATTATATTACCATTTTTGTGCTTATTTTGTTTATGTTTTAAAGCCTATTGCAATTTGTGTATACTTGATGACAGTAGGTGAATAGAACTAGTTAAAATTAGGTGGCAATTACTACAAATTTCCTGTCCATTTTCTGTATTTTAACTGCTATCTTTCCTACAAATTAAAAAAAAAAAAAACAATGATTTTATATTGATTAATGGCAATTTTGCTACATGAAATTTTTGCCTCTGATTTGAAAAATCACTTGGCTGCTACTACTTGATTAATATCAAAATAAACGGTAAAAATCTAGTTTCCTTCTCTTTTTCCAGTTTCCTGAGCTGGGCTGCTATTCTCACCAACTCTTATTCAAGGTTTTGATGTGCTAATTTGCTCATCAGTTACACACTAGCCTTCTTTGGCTTAATTAATAAATATTTTGTTTTGACAAAGGAAGGGGAGACACAAGTCTAATTCATGAATTTGATCATTGTGCGTCCCCCCACTGTGACCCTCACTTGAAATTGGTCTTGAGTCTTATCAGCCAGCTCCGTTTTATGCCTTGTCATTTGCATATCAAATATATCGTTGTAAGCAGACTTCTCCCAGCCATGGCCTGCAGTTACAGAGCCAGCTGCCCACTGGAGCTGCAGAAAAACATCTGTAAACCCGCAGTGATTACAGGAGAAGAATGGGGAGCAGAGGATTACCCGACACTCCTATTCAATCTCTCCTCCAGAAATCAAGATCTTGGAGGTGGCCTGTTTTCATTTACTTGATTTGTTTATTTACTTACCTTTTAACGTAAGCATTTACTCTTCCTCTGAAATTAGAGTGTCAGTTCAAGATGAGCCAATATTTAAACTTTGGAGTTTCTTCTCATCCGAATCTTAGGATACTCAACAGATCCTAATGATGACATGGCGTGAACGCATTATCTTTAAGAAGAATTATGGTACATTGGAACCAGGTGTCTGACTGTGCATAGGAACAGGCTGAGAGTGGCTAGCAACTGATTCAAATCAAATCCCATTTTATCTGTTTTTTGTTTGTTTGTTTGTTTTTAGCATATGGGAAGCTCAATGTACAAAACTCTGAGCATCACCGTCATTCTTTTCAACTCCTTCATATTTGACCTGCCTGCATTGTCCAATCTTTGTTATCGTTTATATGAAACCCTGTGTTAGATTATGTGGGTGTAACATTCAAATCTCTGGCCGGGTGAAGAATCTTTCAAAGATTTTAGAATTGTGTTCCAAAGTCGTTGTACCCAGATGACCCACTTATCTGAAGGGCACTTTAGAGATGTGATCTCTGGCACTTGAAAGCATGATAGCCAACCAACAGCCAGCCCTGAGGCAGATGTCTGGCTTTTAAGAACTCCACATGTAGCCTCTGAAGCAAGAGTAAGAGGAAAATAATGCTATCCTGGACCATATTAATTATGCACTTAGTAGTATCATTGTCTCCTTTAAAAAAAACCTAAACTATTACAACATAAAGACTCATATCAGTTCTATTCAATGTACTCTGTGAATTAGGAAGGAGCATTGGAAAAATAATACTGTGATCCTTTATCTTAAGCACTATTATCTAGAATATTATTACATGGTGTAATGGCAGGAGTGCACAATTTGGAGGCTGAAGGCCTGAGTCTTATCTAACTCTTCTACCAATTAATTGTATGCCATTTGAACAAGTCCCATTCCATGTACAGACATCCATTTTTCTATTTGTCATATGAGACACTTGGATACCAGGCTTACATATCTTTTATATATTTATGTTTTTTTTTTTTTTTTGAAAGGCAGAGTGACAGAGACAGAGACATAGAGAGAAAGATCATGCATTCACTGATTCACTCCCCCTAGAGCCTGGAACAGCCAGGTCTGGGCCAGCCCAAGCCAGGGACCAGGAACTTCATTCTGGTCTCCTACGTGGGTGACAGAGACCCAAGTACTTGAGCCATCATCTACTGCTTTCCCTAGCACATCAATAGGAAGCTGAGTTGGAAACAGAGCCATCAGGACTCTGATATAGGAATCAGCATCACTAGCAGTGGCCTCACCTGCTGCGCCACAATGTCAACCCTATGTACTTACGTATTGCACTGTGCATCGCAAAAGCACTACCAAGTATTCCTTTGAAAAGATTTATGTGGGCAAAGAATTTTTGAGACTCACCATATTGCATGCACACACACACACACACACACACACACACCATTCTGGGAGAAATAAAATAAACATGTGCATATCAAATGTCTCCTTGAGATATGCTAATATCATTCTACAACATACATCAATATAATTTTTTGGTGTTTTACAAACATACTTCACCAAGAATCCTATGTGAATTCAAACCCCAAGACAAGATTGCTCAAAGGGCCTTTGAACTATAATTGGCCCTGTCCACTATAGGGGTGTCCAGGATGCATATGGGTGATTGAGTGTGTAGTACTTAGAACTGGGATCCCAGAAGCCAGACAGCCTAGGTTCAGACCCATAGCTTCTCTACTCCCTAACTTCGTGATGCTAGTTGGGTAATTTAGCTTCTCTGCATGTTAGTTCCTTCATCTATAAACAACTGAGGTGGTAGTGTCATCTATGAGTATTTCGTAGAGTCATTTTGAGACTTGAAACAGTTACTATAACATGTTAAAATGCTTAGCAGATTACATAGTATCTTGTAAGTATTGCATGAGTATTACTATTGCAATTTTTAAAATCTTGATTAGATGCCACAGCCTAGGAAACGAAAGAGTGGATGAAGAAATTGTCATTAGTTCAGCATGCATTCTAGTCTCTACCAGCTGCTCTTCACTACAATCTTGTTGCATCTCCAGTAACACTAAGATGAAAATACGGTTTCTTCATCTTAAAAATGAGTCAAACAAAGTTCCAAGGTATTAAAGAAATATCCTGACTACCTAAATATTAAGGAGAAAAAAAATAAAATAAATCTTAAGCTCAGATACTCCTAACTTTAAAATTCAAGTCCTAGGAGCACACATTTGGCTTAGCAGCTACAAGACGTCATCCCATGTCAAAGTGCCTGGATGTGAGTCCCAGCTCTACTGTCAATACCAGCTCCCTGCTACAGGGCACTCTGGGAAGCAGCAGGTGTTGGTTCAAGTAATTGGGTCTTCTCTCTCTCTCTTGTTCTTTTTTTCTCCTCTCCATCATCCTACTTTTCAAATAAATAAATAATTCAAAAAAATAAATAAAAATTACATTTAAAAAAACCTTCAAGTCCCATCCTCTACATCATACCACCTTCAAGGGCACAAAGGACAAATCTTTTTTACCATTTTATAGATAAAGAAATGTTTAATAAAACCCAAAATATTTCTCAGGATCACATAGCAAGATTTAAATTAGAAAATCAAAAAAGGAAATATTTCTTAATTCTGATCTGGCTACAATTTTTGTAACTTTGATTACTTTGTCTTTTAAGTGCCCGCCGTACGCATTCCATCACATTTTAGCAGAGATTTTTACCTGACTCAGATTATGTTTTTTAGAGAAGTAAAGGTCTGAAGTAGCCATTTAAAGGTCAAATTAATTCTACTGCCTCCAGGAAGGATTGGATCAAAATAATTCTCAAACGATAATCCCTTACTGCATTCTACTTTTAAATATCCAGAGAAGAAAGTTCCTTGACTTTGATAGAGACATTCAAATATTGATGATGTATTTTATATCATCATATATAAGAACCTTTGAGACACTTATAAAAATAAAAACACCTTCGTCAAAAAAAGCAGGAAATATTGAATAAGAAGATGAATTGATTTTCCAGGACAGAGTATAGTAGTGGGCATTAAGAACTGAAATTCAGGACTGAGGACTTGGGAAAGTAATTTATTGGATATTAATCTTCCCTTTTAGCAGGCCAGGCACAACTTTACTTAGATATGTCTGCAGCATCGAAAGTTTTAAAATATGGGGTCAAAAATACATCCCTGCCACACATCCCATAGTGCCATTCTGCTTGGCTCATCTTATCACTAAAACTGTTTTTTTACAGCAATGTCAAAGATGATAGAGCTTAGAGAGATTTCCATTTTGCAAGTAAAAGAGGGCAGACAGGTGGTCCACAGCCTGTGGCGTGCTCAGATGGAGCAGCCAGCTGCCTGATTCTCATCGCTGGAACCTATCCTGGGATCACAGAGCATCCGATTGTGCAGACAACTTGCAAGGAAACGGGGAGATACTTGGGAGATTCCTCAGCACCTGGAATTCCCCGTTTGGGCTCAGTGACTGAGAGAAGGGAGTAGGGGGAGACACTCTGATCTGGCTGAGAAAACAATCTCTTTCTTGGGGAATTTGTAATGCTTAGAAATTCATGAAGTGGTTAACAGAGGACTTCTTTAACCTGCTCATACATGGCAGATTAACCGGGTTTCTGTCTGCATAACATCAATAATACCTTCAATGGGTTGGATTTGGAGAAGGGGTGCAGAATCACAAGGGTGTTCTCTGGAAGTTCTGTTTCATTGCCTTTCTTCACTTTCAGATGTATCCACAGGGAGGAGTGGGCTGTCCCCTTGCAACCGCACAATACAGCACCTACTGCAACAAGGAACATGTTTCAGACTAAGCTTGTACTGAGGATGCAATGGCTTGATACTTAGAGAATCACCATATATTGAGGGTTTTCTTTCTTCAGAACTAAGAGAAGCAAATGTTGATTTTTGGTTCCTAGGGGTCTAAGAAACTAACTTACCAAAAATGCAAAAAATAGTCAGGCACAGTGGCTCACTAAGCTAATCCTCCGCCTGCGGCGCCAGCACCCCCAGTTCTAGTCCCGGTTGGGGCACCGGATTCTGTCCCGGTTGCTCCTCTTCCAGGCCAGCTCTCTGCTGTGGCCCGGGAAGGCAGTGGAGGATGGCCCAAGTGCTTGGGCCTTGCACCTGCATGGGAGACCAGGAGAAGCACCTGGCTCCTGGCTTTGGATCAGCATAACTCCAGCCTCAGCGGCCATTTTGGGGGTGAACCAACAGACGGAAGACCTTTCTCTCTGGCTGGCTCTCTCTCTCGCTCTCTCTCTCTCTCTGTCTAACTCTGTCAAAAATTTTTTTAAAAATGAAAAAAATAAGTGGAAAATGCCTGCAGTGCTGAGAGATTTGTTGATACAAATGCAAAAGAATTCTTTTCCCTGGCACTTCCTGCCCTTCTACCCAAAGTTGTAACTAAAGACAATGCCCAGCAAAATGGTGGCTGCTGGGGGAACAGTCTAGAAGACCGACATTCAGAAATTGTGTTGACTTCCTGTATCATCCAAAATCATTCCAAAGTTCCCCCTCAAATGTGCCATTGAATGAGAGTGAAGAGAACTGGGGTTCCGCTTGTTTTCCTGGTGCTTATTTCTTACCAGTTTTACCTACAGTGTAAAATGGCCACGTCCATCATAAGAGAGAAATGTTCCCTATTTGAGCAAAAAAGCAGCTGATATTTACAAATTGCCAAATAGAAACACCCATTATGAATCTCTCACGAGCACTGCAGAGGAAGATGAGCCAAGAGCACTTACTACCATGACACTCTGCTGTAAGACGACCCAGTATTCTAGTGTGGTGCTCGTTCTCATAGTTTAGGTTGTAAAACACCTTTTGACCCTTCGCATTGTCCACTTGCTCATTCTAAATGTTGAATTCATTGCTAAGATTCCCAAACATAAGCTTTTCCAGTCTTAACTTACCACTTTGTTTTTTTGGGAATACTTTCTGACTGCTTTTGTGGAAGGAAGGAAGGAAGGAAGGAAGGAAGGAAGGAAGGAAGGAAGAGAGGCAGGGAGGGAGGTTGGGAGGGAGGGAAAATACTTACCAATACAGAAGCCAATCAATGAGTAGCTATCTTAAAGGATGATTTAAATGTTAATAATCTATTTCAATATAGAAAGGCCAGGGATTTGAGAGATTTCTCATTTAAATCACACACCCAGGTGCACAAAAATCACACAACATCCTGACCCCTAAAATCTCTTTATCCAGCTTCCCAAGCACATAGGCAACAGAAATCTCCAGAAAGTCCCCTTTAACATACAAATAAGGTTTTACCCTAGAGGGGCTGCACACTAGCCCATTACTGAGCATTAGCTGAGATTAGTTTATCAGATTAACAGAGCATAGACCTGAAGAAAAGAAAACACTGCACAGGTACGTTTAACAGGGCAGGGGGCCAAACACTGTCTCCTCGGGGAATAGGGACGCAGAACCAAAGGAGTGCAGCTAGGCAGCAAACAATCAGCCCAGAATTCCAAGTCAAACAGAACCCAGACTCTAGCCTTGGGCAAGGGGAGAAGTCTCTAAGCCTGAGTCTATTGTCCAAAGCCCACACATGTGGTAGGTGAAGGAGATTAGGAGCTACTCTGTGGTTGAATCCTGGCTCTTCATTTCCAATCTTAACTTTTCTATGCCTCTATTTCCTCATTTATAAAAATATGACCTCACAGGACTATTGAAACAATTAAATAAATTAACCTGTATAAAGCACTTAGAATAGTACACAGACTATGTGTTAGCTATCATCATCAGGAATCAACAACTAAACAAATGGACCCATTCTTTTTAAACACACACACACACACACACACCCCTATAGAAAAAGATTGAAAGAGTGTACAATTTCCAGCTCTTAGGGGTGCAAATTATGGCTGATTCTTTTACATGTTCTCTTCCTTAGGCATCTTCTAAATTTCCTAAAACAAATATGATAAGCTTGACCTTTTGGAATGCTCCACCTGAAAGGATGATGCACTGAATTTTATTTATTAATAACAAAAATTTGGAAACTGAAAGAGGTTCATAAATAGGAATTACTGCAAAAAAGTATGATTTAGTATATTAGAATTATGAGCCTACAATTAAGAAATCTGTTGTTGAAAAATATTTTTGGCATAAGAAAATACTTGTTATATGGCATGTAAAAATAATGATGCTAACTAAAATTTAATTCCTAACTTACTAAAAATAAATATACTATTGGGACCAGCACTGTGGCTTAGCCGGTAAAGCCACTGCCTGAAGTGCCGGCATCCCATAT